TGGTAGCTTTGGTGCGATATGAACACGAAAATAAAGTTTGTGAAGATTTTTTGTTCTGTGAATCGTTACCTCTTAATACAACTGCTGAAGCCCTTTTCAAAGTTGTCAATGACTTCATAACTACAAATACACTTCAATGGGAAAAATGTGTAGGTATCAGCACAGATGGTGCTCAGGCAATGTCGGGAATACATAATGGTTTGGTCGCACGTATCCAGAAAGTCGCACCTCTTGTTAAATGGACACATTGTTGCATACACCGCGAAGTATTAGCTGCACGCCGTATGCCCTCCAAAATGAAAATCGTTCTAGACTAGGCAGTAAAAATTGTCAATTTTATTAAAGCCCGTCCTCTTAACAGCCAATTATTTTCTGCGCTTTGTAATGAAATGGGAAGTGATCACGAACACTTATTATTGCACTCAGAAATCCGATGGCTGTCCCGGGGTAAGGTTTTGACACAGTTGCTTGAGCTTCGAGACGAAGTAAGGTTGTTCCTCATAAACTCTAAATTTCAGTTAACACACTATTTAAATGATTTTGCATGGCTCTCCTCTCTTGCTTACTTGGCGGACATTTTTAACATCTTGAATACTCTTAACTCGAGCCTTCAAGGTACATCTGTCACCGTGTTTTCTGTGCAAGACAAGATAGAGGCAACAATCAAGAAGTTAAATTTGTGGTGCAGCCGTATCGAGAAAGGAAAATACGGTTCCTTTCACATGCTGAGTGATTTCATTGATTCCAGTGAACAACCCCTTTCTAGTGATGTTGCTGAAAGTATGATTGAACATATGAGGTCATTGGCGTCTCAACTACGTCTGTATTTTCCGTTTGGTCTTGAAAATAACGACTGGATGAAAAATCCCTTTGTAGACTCTGAATTTGAACTTCCTTCTGCCGAGGAAGAGCAACTTATCGAGCTGTCCTGTGATTCGACGTTCAAACTGCTGTTTCCTTCGTTACTGTTACTGGAGTTTTGGTTCCAAGCTAGGTCTGTTTACCCTGAAATTTCCAAAAGGGCTGTAAGACATCTGTTGCCATTTCCCACTACATATCTGTGCGAGACATTTTCTCATCTTGTACACATGAAAAACAGATATAGGAACAGACTTAACGTGGAGCCAGATCTACGTCTGAAATTATCCAGTTTTGATCCTGACATTCGAAAGTTGACGTCTGAAAAACAGCACCAGCCATCACATTAGGTGAGTGTTAAATTCATAATATTACGCCTAATTGATATGTTCATAATCTTCCGAATATCTCCATTTATAACAGTATTTTATTGTCATAAATGACACATTTAGTGTTGTAAAATTTTAAGTTACTGCTTCATTTTTATGATACGTACTCGTAAAATTTAAAAATCTCCATTTTGGGTTTTATGGGGGCCACGGTGAATTAACATTCAGTACAGGGGGTCCGCGGCATCAAAAAGGTTTGGAAACACTGCTGTAGATTGTGAATATCCTTCATATCTTTGCTATGGACCAGGAACTTCTGAAGCTTAGTGACTGCCATATGTGTTAATGTAAGGGAGGAAAGGCATGGGATGAAAGTGCAGGACGGAACATTTCCACTGACAGAGACTTTTAGTCCATTGAATTTCACTTTTCAAAGAGACAACTTTTGTGTTACTATAGGATTCTGACGATGGTGTATAACACACTGATATATTGGGTTTTTGGACTTTATCCATCGTCCTGGTTTTTAAGATCTTTATCTTAAAAACCAGGACGATGGATAAAGTCCAAAAACCCAACATATCAGTTAACTTTTGTGTTATTCTATAAGCTCTACCATCTGTTCCCATTGCTTCTGTACATGCACACACCCTTGTCTTTGGCTCCTATAATGGCCTCTCTTCTTGCAAGGACCTTCTAAACCTAACTACTGGTCAGATGTTGTGTGTGTGGCTCATGTCATGCCTTGCAGCTTCTTCTTATCAGCAGCACTGATCAATCCACATCAACTGTTGAGAGCTCAATCAAACTTACCAGAACATTTCCAGCAAACCAGGGAAATACGCATTTTGGTGAAAATTACAGTGTTCTAAAATTATGCCTCAATTAGATTAGGGTTTACTGTTATTACAGTTATCAAAGACTATAAATATTACAGTTGGTAAAATAGATGTAGGTGGGGTAGAAGCAGCGCACTGAACAAGGACATACTAGTCCCCAAACATAAGTCTCTTTCCTGGTGCAACCCCACACCCCTCATGGATACAAACTCCATTCTGCGCAACTCAACACACTTGGGAAAGGCTGTGTAAATAGAAGTTAAACTGGGGCTATGACGGCTAAGGCGAAAGTGAGAAGAGGGGAAACTATCGCCAGTTCTAAGTCCTTCCCTTGTTCCAAATTTTCTAATATCATCACTGCACACGACTTGCCTCCTTATTTAACATTTATAAACATATCTGGGTCTACAATTACAACATCTGAAAATGTAGAAATGGTCCAATTACCTTCTCCTTCATATAGTTTGTTGCGCTCTGCTACAGGAGCTGCGGTTCTAGTAATCTTTTTGCTATCTGTTTCAGGAGTTAATTTTTTTGACACTTTCTTCCTTGCTGATAGAGGGGTACCTGCACTAGATTTTTGTACAATTTTGTCCTTTGCTTCCGAAGGCGAAACTACTCCGACTCCACTCTGTACTTTCGACTGTGCGGGCGATTTCGTGAAATAATTAAATAAAGTATTTTTCTGAGCCATTTGGACCTCAGCTTTCTTTTTACACCTCACCTACAGAACATATGTCACCATCTGTGCTAAACACATGAATGTTATTCTACTCCCGCTTATTTCACGCGTTTAAGTACCCGGTTCTAGAAACTAACACGATACAATTTTTACCTTATTCTATTTATTTTAACACACGCACCGAAAACAGAACGATACAAATCTTACATTACATGTGGCCGATGGCGGGAAAATGAGTACCACAGATTAAACATTATCGCAAAATTACCGCAAATTTACACCAGACTGTAACTCCTATGCACGTAAAACATTTAACACATAAATTACTTCAAAAAGTGGCTGAGTTAAATGCCACACTATTATATTCCGGTAACGATAAATATAACACCTCATTATCACTGACAACACATTCAAATATAACGTTATTTATATCCTATTTGTATTAGTTATATTCTCAACTTAGTCTTCATTGTGGGATATTTCATCTGATTTTACCGCGAAATTTTGCTCTATTGTTGGTGACAGTGAAGCTGTACTAGTTGCTAGGTAATAATTGATGTTAATAGGTGTGAGGATCGGTCAGAGCCGTCAGAGTGGACAGGCAATAATAGGTGACGTTTTAGGATGAACGTAAAAATGACAAAACTCTTAGTACTACCGGGAAGTGCTGTGCTAAATTTCATAGCAGTGATAATTTTACTAGGGCTTGCACATACGGTACAGTCAGAACTGGATGATGTTACAACAGAAGTTTATAGCGTGGAAGGCAAAGTGTTTCCACCCGATTCTTATGGTACAAGCAACTGGCAGGTCGCAACAAGGGTTTTGGTGAATGGAGGAGACTTTGTAGGATTTTTGAAGTGAGTGATGTTGAATGTTATAACAGCTGCATTTCCGACTGCAAAATGAGTGTGAAAACGTGACTTCTTATGTTACAGCATAAATTTGGAATGATACTAATATCTGCACATAGGAATCAAGATGCAATTTAAAAACTGGTTTTCAAAATGAGTAATTTACCATAGGGAGAGCGTGAGTTTGTTTTTTTTTTTTTTTCAGTAAATTCGAACATAACAGTTTTGCACGTTTGGATTCTTTAAATTTAACCTCAGCTCTCGCCTGTCTTTAACGTATTCAGCATTCCACACATTGAGCACCCCCAGAAAAGGAAATTTTAAGGTTAGGAATAGAACGTAGCAGCCTGGTACAAAATTGTGATTTGAGCTTTCCAGAAAACAAAGGAAGAACATTATAATACTTGGAATTCATAAATACAATTCAAATAGTGATTCAACCCCTGTCTAAAATAACAATCTTTCTTGATGCACCTTTCAGGTCTTCTTTGAAGCAGTTATACATACGGTATACAGGTTATATCAGAAATCAGAGAGAATGTGAGTCAGTTCTTTGTAAATGCTAATATATATTCTTTGTCTTTTAGGGAAGATGGTACTTTCGCAATTAATAATGTTCCATCTGGCTCGTATGTTGTTGAAGTGGCCAATCCAAATTATGCTTATGAACCAGTTCGAGTTGAAATCAATTCTAAGGGGAAGTACAGAGCTAGAAAAGTAAATTACATCCAGACTTCTCAAGTTCTTCAAGTACCATATCCCTTAAAAATGAAGCCACTGAACCGCTTCCGGTATTTCCAAGTAAGAGAACAGTGGAGAGTGACTGATTTTCTGTTCAGCCCAATGGTGAGTTTCTGGTGTAAAGTAATCTCATTGGTGATGTACTTCAATAAAACAGTGTTTTGTTGTGGTGAACATCAGAAGCATAATCTGTATTAGGGGATTTGATTTTAGGGTTTAATGTAATGAAAATAGAAAATCTAGGATTTTAAGTGTTTGCATTTTAAAAAATTCCAAATTCCATTCCCACACACATGACAAAAACTAAACATTCAGATTGTCCACAAAAGGAAAATAGAAATATGTTAAAATATTTTATGTCACATTTAAGGATTTAGAAGGTAACGACACAATCTTAAATCCTTAGATGGTGGCAGAAAAGCTTAACTACCTTAAACCTTTAGGTTTATGGATTCTTACACGAGGAAGAAAATAATTTACTTCAAATAACTCTTAGAATTTTCTGTGAAAAGCTATGTAATTTGTATGCATGCTTTCATCATTACAGTTGGTGGTGCAAATTTGGTTTTGATAATTGGGATATATCTATACTTATTGTCCATCTTTTCAGGTCCTGATGATGGTTTTGCCATTACTGTTGATAATGATTCTTCCCAAGATGATGAATGATCCAGAAACAAGAAAGGTAATTGAATATGCTTAGTCTGACAGGAACAGCATAGACTTTTGTCCATACAATACTGACAGTGTAAATACAGATGAAGAGGAACTTGACAGCACTGTATAGTTTGACATGACATTGTTTTCATTTTATTTATTGCGTCACCTTGTTTTGCAGGAAATGGAACAATTCAACAACTTCAAATATGACATGCCAGAAGTATCTGAAGTGCTGACTTCATTCTTTACTGGAAGTGAGAAGCAGAAGCCTCGAGCTCTGAAGTCAAATAAGAAACGGCAGTAACTGTTGTATGTGCATATGTATTGGACATTTATTGGTTGTAAAATGTATTGGCTACAGATTGCTGTCATGCTTCCATGTAATACTATTGGCAACAATGCCCCCCCCCCCTTTTTTGAGATAGAGAGATCACATTCATGCTCATACAAAATGTTCAGGAACAGGGAAATTTTCAATTAGAGAATGCACTGCCAAAATCATAATATTCTTCTTAAAAAGTTGAGAAAAATTACATGCTGAAAGTCTGGTACAACATTCTGTGACTGGCACCAGTGCATGACAGCAAAAGCAAAAATATAAGGTATTTTTTATTCATAAGTTATGCATCCTGTTACAACACTAATATATAGTATACCAGCCAATCACAACTTTTTTGTTTTTCAATACTGATATTTCAGTAAATCATCAGTATTGAAAAACAAAAAAGTACACTATATATTATATTAAAAATATACGGATCACAATGCAAGCAAAGGATTTGTAAAATTGTAATTCATACCTGTTAAGTGGATCATATGGGGTGCAGAATACAATGGGATATAATGTATGGTGCTTTAGATCATCATCAGACTAATTATAAGCAGTGTTTCCAATAGCAACACATGGAACGTTGTAGATAGAATTTTGTTTACTTCACATCATTGTACGACACGTGTGATGGTGCTGTGTATATATATAGAAACACTAAGCATAACAGCAAAGGTACCATCCATTCCTTAATTTGTAATTATTGTAAAGCTTTATGATAGTTAAGTTTGTGCATACATTGTAAGCTGAATATGGGGCACTATGCTACAAGCCAGAAGGTTGCAGGCTCAATTCTCGATGAGGTAATCAGATTTTTCAATTGATCTAATCGTTCCAGCCACACTATGACCCTGGGGTCAACTCAGCCTCAAGCAGAAATGAGTACCAGGGTAAAGGGCAGCCAGCTGGTGCATAAGGCTGACATCCTCACCACAGTCTGTGAGCTGATTGTCTAGAAAATGTGGGAGCATCAACGTCTCACAAGCCTGTGAACCTCCAAGGAGTGTTACAGGGATAGCTTTATCTTTTTTATGTAGTAAGCTGGATGTAAGCACAGATAAATAAAATTACCTGATATTGGTGAAGTGTGTGAATATGTAGCATGTGATTTATATGTAAAATTGCTTTATGTAATTGTTAATTGAGAAATAAATTTTTGTGCACAGCATCCAAATATACAAGGATTGTGCAAATGAAACCTGTGTGTGTTCATCCCCTCAATAAATCTTTTTTAAGATTAGGCAGACACATGAAGGCTCTAGTGTTGGAGCAACCCAGGAACTTTTTGCAGCAGGACAGTTAAGTTGGTACATGCTGAATGGCTGGGGGTCAATTCCCAGCAGTGGCAAGAGATTTTTCGTTTCTCCACAGCATTCAAGACCAGGCAGTCTCCTGTCCAGTGGGTACCAGTGGCTCTTTCCCAGAGGTAAGCATGAATCTCATTACTAGGCTCTGTGTAGTGCCCATGTCAAGAATGGTGGATACACACCTCCAGTTCCTTGTATGTCTTCATGGCATAGTACTTATTTAAGCACAGGGACAACTTTACCTTACTTTTTTTCACCCAGAACAATCCCTATACAGGTTTCATTTGCCCCTAGAAGTGTCAGTAGCTGTGTTACACTTGGTCTAACATAAATATATAAGACTCTGGTATGTTATGACAACAGATTTGTTCATCATATACTAATTCTGATTGGCTAAAAACTATTTTTCTTGTAGGCCTCATGTTCATGTTTTCAATGATTTAGTCATATTTAACATTATGCATACAAGCATCTAATGTGTGCAGTTATTCACATTATGCTTGATAGAGAATAACACACAAGCCCAAGGCCAGATGTAATTTGGTTTCACACAGTATTGTGTCACAATTTATTTACGAGTACAGACAGCATTTGGATTAGTGAATAGACTTAGTGACCACAACTCATTACAGTGCCATCACTAATCTCCACAGCACCCACTAAGCCTTTCTCCAGTCTGCTGTGTCTTCACCAGCTGTTCCCTGGCAATGGCTTCTGACAGTGTAGGTTCTTCAGCTTCACGTGCTCAGATCCTCTCTTCACAGCCTCTTGCACAGAACTCGACTGAACTGACAACTTGGTTGCCCTAACTCCTCAGCACAGCCCACATACGCAGAAAACACTGTTCATTCTCGTACGCTGCTTCCATGGGAATGTGTTCACATAAGCCAGCAATAGGTTGAATAACACCATTAATAATGTTGTATTTTAGCGTCCTGTTGCACTGATTCTCGTCCATGATATGTATGTATTGACCATCTTCTAGTGCACACAATCTCACTTGTCACTTCACTACATGTTTCGGCATCACTGTGCCATCCTCAGGTGTGTTATTTACGTTAAACTACTGCACTGCTCACCATCATGTGTTGTTTATAAAATGATTTAAAATGTATATTCTTCATGTACTATAATAAAATTTATATATATTAAAATTTGTTAAGATTTATCATCTTAAACGTCTTATTTCAAATTCTCGTATTATATCATTCTTCCTATATTTTGTGTATATGCAGCCAAAAAAGGACACATCACACGACACAGTATACACAAAATATAGGAAGAATGACTCCCATAGTGGAAGAATGATATAATACGCGAGTTTGAAATAAGACGTTTAAGATGATAAATCTTAACAAATTTTATTATAGTATACATGAAGAATATACATTTTAAATCATTTTATAAACGACACATGATGGCGAGCAGTGCAATAGTTTAACGTAAATAACACACCTGAGGATGGCACAGTGATGCCGAAACATGTAGTGAAGTGACATGTGAGATTGTGTGCACTAGAAGACAGTCAATACATACATATCATGGATTGAATAATACTGTTTATTAAGAATCAGCTGCCCCAGTAACACAGGTCCTTTCATGACCATTACCCACCAACGGTTCTTGGTTACTGCAGGAACAGAGTGGTTATGGCTCATATTTCTGGCTGACAGTTTTTTCTGTGGGGGGGGGGTAGAAGTGTATACCAACTTTCTTTTGCAGGGCAAAGCAAAATTTTTGTGAGTGAGACAGTTCTTGCAATCCAGTTCATATTCGTGCATCTAAAACCCTTACTCTGTTTGTGTCCACTGGTTTTCCTTGACCTTCCTTTCTCCTTCATCAGCAGTGCTGAACTTTCTTTGGATGGTGGATGCCATGTTCTTCTTTTAATGTACTGTTGTTATATTAAAGGGACATATAACAGACAAAACTACAGTGAAACCCCTATTTAATATTCCTAAATTGAAGCTTTTCCCTCATTTAAAGTTCAAGTTCATTTCTCTCAAATCATTAATCTAGATACTAAATATCTGCCATTAAAAATTTTTAGGAGTTTAGTGTTCAAATCCACTATTCCCAAAATACACCTTAAATGGAGATTTCACCGTGTACTTGGTCACATGATAGTCATTAAAGAAATCATTCATGTACTGAAAAACAAAAGTACATAGCAGTATATATATTTTAATAATTTATATTACATATTATATCAAGAAATAAAACTGTATTTTGATTTTGAAAGTTTACCCATTGCTATAATCAAATTTATGACACTACACGAGTTTAAACAAATCCTCATACCATAAAATACTCCAATTCACACAGTTTTGCTGTAAATCACAAGTACTGTCCAGTTCCAAATCTGAAACTATAAATGTTATGGATCATTCCCAGTGGCTTGTTTAATAACTAGCTGCCAATACTTATGCACTCTGTGAATGTCAACAGCAGCAAAACCACATACTCACTGTTAGGACCCTTCAGCAAAGTTATGCTGACAAACAGTAGTAAATAAAGATATCAATGTTGAATGTAAAAAATAACGTTAATTTGAATGCCATTTTCCCTAGGTTTTACTTCCCACCCCTTTGTGCCACAATTCAGATCTGAATATTGTATCAATATGGATTGTAATTTCTTATAGAACAATCCAAATACAATCATTCCCTGAAGCACTGCATATACCATGAACTGTAATATACTGGCAGGCCTACAGCACCATTTTGTGGACCACCTGAGCAACCCTTCCTGGCCCTATGAACCATCTTATTTGCTACACTTAACAGCCTAAATTATCTGCATTTGACAAAAGTAGTTACTTGCTTACATATTTTGCTTAGCCATTTTCTAGTACATACTCACCTTTGTGATTCAAAAATTTATTGCAGTTTGCAAAACAATGTGACTGATCCACCAACTGCAATGGAGTACCACTTAAAAAGAACAGTGGTTTAAAATATGAAAGAAATGTGCGATGCCCAAAAACTAGGAGGGTGAGTCAAATGAAAACCTTAAATTTGTAATAAAAAATTGAAATTTCACGCCATTATCCTGTAAGTTGGTAAGCGTGCTACAAACCGTGCAGAATGGCCTGTAGGTTGCAGAATAGTGCAGATGCATGAACACCGTCACAGCACCAGTATAAGATGGCTGCCCCACTTGAGACTTGCACCAAGGAAGAACAGCGTTCTGTTATTTAACCTATTGAAATTTATCGAAGAATGAAGTTTCAGTATGGTGATGCATGTTTATCACATCAGCAAGTGCACGAATGGAGTAGGAAGTTTGCAAATGGTGACTTCAGTGGAAGATGCTCCTCATCTGGGTCAGGAACATCAAGTTGTGACTCCAGAGAACACTGCAGCAGTTGAAGCCATAGTGAGGGAAAACCGCCGAGTGACATTCTAAAAGAATTCATGCANGATTAGAGGTACGCCACACAGTGCATGAGTGGTTGCAAGGACTACCAAAAGAATTTCTTTCTAAAAGAATTCATGCACTTTGTAAGCGCTGGAGGACTTGCATTGAGCGTGGGGGAGATTATGTTGAAAAGTGATACAGCTTTGTACCACTTGTGCACAATAAATAATACTCAAAAAAATATTTAAGTTTTTCATTTGACTCGCCTACGTACTTTTAACAGAAACCATCACAGACCAACCACAAAATATTCATGACTGCAATTGGTCCATGAACCACAGGCTAGGAAATACCAGGACATAGCAATTAGGTATTAAAATGGATATATATCATATTAAATGGAATTACTGGCATAATGATATCTTCAGTTTACTTGGTTTCTGTAAAAACACTCTGAAAACGACTCATCATAACACTCGGTACTTGTAGAAGTCCATTACTGTCTGACTCACATTCCACCCAATAGCCACTGTCACCACATATACCAACAGCAACGCTGTCAGAGGGTACAACAGTAAATGTGTTCTGTGCAGGATTGGCAAACCTGTGGAAGTCAAGCAAATTGACATATGAAAAGGAACATGTGACACCAACCAAAGTAGCATAACAGAAAAAGAAATACATTGAAACATCTGAAGAGTACCAAATTCTGGGACATGTGGTCTAGTAGAAGTGCACCAGCATTTCAGAGGAACATAGTGCCTCCATCTTCAATGTTTAAAAGTGCAAACAATCACTCTTCTACCAGACTACATGGTGTGATATCCCAGAAGAAAGTACTCTTCACAGTCAATGCTGTGAGAACATTAAATCCAGCACATTAAAAGATGTCTGTAGCTTACATCACTTCAGGCTTCAGTAGAATTTCTCAATACTGACTTACATATAAGAAGAGTGAAAACAGTGCATTTCATAATGTAGTATACAGAATTTCCAGTAACATTCTTTGCAGTTCATTATTCTTAACTTGTGGTCTGTTCATAAAATTTCATGAAACAGCTGATGACATATATGATAAAAGTCCATCCATGGCCTTAAGTAAAATGGGCTTTATCATAGGACAATATGGCTGAAAATCAGAACTGCTTGATAATTTTTGGCCAATCTCCTATACCTAATTATAAAAAAAAAAAAAGAAACTGCTCAAATTAGTTCATAGAGACACATGACCTCAATAAGACTTTTTTAGTTTGTAAAGAACACCTAAAAAGACAGAAGCCATAAAACATTTCTGTCACATTTACTTCTATGATGTCTCTCTGAAAATTTTAACAAATTTGGTGGTTATCTAACAAGGCACACAAACTAGCTCATTTAAGACTTCAAATAAATGTGTAGTTATAACTGGCCAATGCCATGAATAATCTGTTTTCTGTTTATACAAACTGAATCTTTTTTCAGACCAGCTGTCATTTCTCATAATATACATGCTCCATGTTCAGATTGTTGAGTTAAATCAGAGGTAAATTTTCCTGTGTGATTACATTGTTCTGTTTCTTACAGGATAACGTATTAAAGCACACTGGCTACTCTTTCACTAGCTTCTGTAACAGTAAATGGAGACATAAAGAAAGTGCAGTTTCTCAGTGGCAAATATGTCAAAATATGAAACATGACAAAATGATAAACTCAGAATTACTGGGGTTTTGGGCTCTGTCCATCACCCATTATTCTAGAAACCAGAAAACAACATTCTGGAAACTTCATCTAGTGACTGAGGTTAACTGTTTCTAAGGGACCCAACAGAGTAGGTGTCTACCCCCTTACCTGAAGACAGAAACAGATCCACTTTCTGAAATGTTGTGTTTTCCAGTTTCTAGAATACCAGATGATGGACAAAGTCCAAAAACCCAGTAATTCTGAGTATTATATACTATCATCAGAACCCTTTAGAATCTACTTGTACAATTTGCGACTTCCATAACCTAGTACACTATACAAAATTTCCAATTTCTTCTGTCAGTTAAAAAACTGATTACTTACAGCTGTAGCCCAGAAAAGTTACGTAGATATAGTAACCAAGAGCAATTAGCCACAGGGAGTTGCCAAACAGTCTTGATATAAACCATTCATGGCTAATTAATACTGTAACACAAGGACAGAAAAATGTTATGTTATACATCAGTGTTTCTCCATCCACACGTTAATGGTAATTACCATATCCCATATCTGAATGGTTGTACATTGTGAAAATTTGAACTCACCATTGTAGAAAAACAGCTGAAATACATGAAGAATAATAAGAAGGGGAAAGAATGCATTGAGGTGAACATCAAATGCATATCCCCATTCCACATCCTGGTCATAACAAGCTGGTTTGATGAGATACTTATTGCTTACAAACCTGCAAAACAGAACATGCTAATGAAATCTAAGGAACCATACCTAAAAACTGGAGAGTGAAAAGTCCAAATGACAACATCTTTCAACTGATTCAAACAACATACTGAAATACACAAATTCTGTAAGTGTAACAAATAATTGATTCAAAAGATGTCATGATCAGCAGTGTGCAACTTTTGTAAATTAAATGCTATATCACAGGGGAATGTGGTAGCGCAGTTGGTAGAGGCACTATGCTACAAACTGGAATGTCGCAGGTTCAATTCCCAGTGAGGCCATTAGATTTTTCAATTGATCTAAGCCTTCCAGCTGCACTATGGCCCTGGGGTCGACTCAGCCTCTAACAGAAATGTGTACCAGGAATATTCGTGGGGGTAAAGGGCAGCTGGCACATAAGGCTCACAACATCACCACAATCTGTGAGCCAACTGTCTAGAAAATGTGGGAGCCTCAATGTCTCACAACCCTATGCACCTCCATGGCCTGTTACAGGAATAGCTTTACCTGTTTACATTGTATCACAATGCCAAGCTCTACTCAACAAGCACTGCAGTTTATCAAATAAAACTTTTCTTGAATTAAGAGTAAACAGCTGGATACTTCTGCTTCACATATTAAATCTTATTTGTTTACACTTCGTTTTCTATATAAAACTTCCTTGTGCACACATAAAATTAATCTATACTGCTAAAGAATCTATATAACAAATAACTATATTTCTAAGAGCAGGGACACACGAAAAGTTAAATATCTCACATTCAGAGATGGAACAGAGAAATGTGAATGCCACTCACCAGAACAATGTGGCAATAAGAAGACCAACTCCTATACAGTCTACAAATATTACATATAAGAGGAACTTGACAAAGCCCCAGAAACCAAGTTTCAGCACTAATGCAAAACCCACTGAAGATGCTGAAAAGAAAATAAACAACAATTGCAATGAAACTGTCTATTTTCTGGGATGTACTGTAATGTAGCCTGGTAAAATTCAAACAATGTTTCTGAGGCACGTATCACCCTCATCTTCAGGGTCAACGGATAAACCAAGCAAGAGCTCTGCATGCTGCCTGCTTCTTGCTTGGCTTCCTCTTTGGCCCTGAAGATGAAGGTGATCTGTGATGGCCATCGACATCTCTATTCAAAGTGTACGGGACAGTTACCTCATTTATAATAATACAAAAAACACATCCACATAACAAAGGCACAATTCCACAAAAGTCTCATACTCCATTACTGTTACTTTTCATTTAAGATAAATTGCACCGTTTATTCTTCTAGGATTAAATGTTAATTTACTTACCACAAAGCCAGAAACTCAGAAGAACCAAAAATGCTGGGTCATCTCGGGCAAACTGCGACTTTGTTTCTGCAAGTGAAAAAGTACTACTTTGCTTCATCAATTTAACTGCAAAAAGTGTCTAATTTAGCCTAGCCAGAGATTCCAATGGGATAATGCAAGTAGTCCCTTTGATAGAAGAATATAAATTACAAGTGCATGAGAACGGTATTTCAAAAGTTACATGCACTGAAATTGAATTACATGGAAACTTCAGATATTGCATAACAAGGAAATTCATCACCATGTGTTTTCAGGGCAAGAAGTGAAGGAGATTGAGATGGGCTGGACATGTAGCTGAGGCAAGAGAAGACAACCTCTACATACAGAATACTGGTGGAGAAAGCTCTTACGAACTAGTTACTTGGGAGACGGAAGAAAGTACGATAACATTTATGATGGTATAGAGCAGATGAGTCCTGGCAAGTGGCGGTGTAGAAACCTGAATGAGGACAGTGGCAGGCTAGAAAATAGTAGTGCAAAGCTTTATGTTCTAATATAAGAGTTAGTAATGATTAATCATGTAAAGAAATACCATACAACTCATTGGTTCATAAGTCTAAAACCTTCTTACGTTTCCTATAATGAAAATTTCTATACACTTTCTGAGGTGCAATGAATAAGTACAGCATTTGCCACAATGCAAATTCGAAGTCCATTTGTTGAAATTTTATGAGTCTTCGAAGATATTTGTATCTCTTCGCTGCTGCTGTCATACAATCCAACCTATCAGAAGAAACAGAAAAATGAAATGTCAGTATTTTGATAAATTCAACAGATATTACAAATCAGGCTGTCTACATGACAATAATATCTACAAATTTAAACCAAAGATAAACTGATACTAATGTCAGAAGAAACAGAAAAATGAAATGTCAGTATTTTGATAAATTCAACAGATATTACAAATCAGGCTGTCTACATGACAATAATATCTACAAATTTAAACCAAAGATAAACTGATACTAATGTATCAGCATTAGTTTACTGTGCAAAGGCGTTCAACAGAAAATCAAAATATGACATACAAGAATATCAATGTCATAGTTCTCTCCTGCATTTGCATTTGTCTATAACATCTGAACAGTTGTGAGTCTGATGTAAAAGGGTGAAAGTAAAGTAAAAAAGTAAAGCTATCCCTGTACCAGGCCATGAAGGCCCACAGGGTTGTGAGACATTGAGGGTCCGACACTATCTAGACAATCGGCTCAAAGATAGCGGTAAGGTTGTCAGCCTTACACACCAGCCGTGCTTTACTCCCCAGGAAAATTATTTAATTAATTCCTAGTACTCATTTCTGTTAGAGGCTGAGCAAACCCCAGGGTCTAGTGGGGCTGGAAGGATTAGGGTACAAGGAAAAAAAAATGTCTTCATCCAATAAATGATACAAACTCCGTCCCAAGTGCAAACAATATATATTATATGTCTTTGATCTTGCTCTCTTCTACACTACATGTTTCGGCCTCTAACGGCCATCATCAGGTGTATACACTTATGTTGCTGCCACACTGAACCCAGTCTAAAATTTAACATTTAAAAAACACATCGTTATTTTCTTTGTTATTATCAACATCTACCTCGTTGATATCTGTCTGGTATGTAGATTATTTTGCACACGTCAATTTTGATTTTCCTGTAGTAGCACTATAAAATTTTTAGTTATAATTTTAAAATCCTTTAAAATTTTCTCTAAATTTTAAATTTAAAATTTAAAATTGTTAGGGTTACTTGCCCTATGTCTAAAGTGCTGCAGCAGCTAGTTCTTGTTTCCACACTGTACAGGTGTTATTCTGTGTAGTCTGGGTTCAGTGTGGCAGCAACGTAAGAGTATACACCTGATGATGGCCGTTAGAGGCCAAAACATGTAGTGTAGAAGAGAGCAAGATCAAAGACATATAATATTGTGACATGTTGCGCAACGGAGAACCCCCCCCCACCAGCAGTGACGCGGCGGGTGAGTCAGCGCTCCGTCATCCCCCTTCCGCACGGTAACGTAACGCGCAACGCACGGTAACGTAAGATGGCATGAGGTAACAGCGTTGCTACGTAACAGGCCCACACAGCCCCTATATAAGAGAGCTGCGCTGCCTGCAAGGAGGGTTGAAATGTGGCCATCGCCGAGTTCAGTAGTAGTCAAGCCAGTGTGTTATCAAGAGTTCTCAAGGCAGCACCTGCGAGTTCAGTTGGAATATAGCAGCCGTCGCAGAAAGAAGAACCGGACGTGTGTGTGACTGTGTAATTGGGAGTGCGTGAGACAGAGAGACTTGTATAGCTCCCGTACTGTGAAACGTGTAGTCTACTGAAGACAGAGTGAACTGATTTGCGAATAGGGTTATAAATTGTGAAACCCCGCAACAGTGTTAACAGATTATTGCGATTAGGGTTATAAAGTGTGAAACCCCACAACTGTGTGATAATTAATTGTAGCCGTTACATGTAGGTTGTTGAATAAACAAATTAACAATCTCTACGGCGTCTTCAGTGACAAGACATGTTACAATATATATTGTTTGCACTTGGGACGGAGTTTGTATCATTTATCGTGTAGAGTGCAACAGGATGGTTAAATATAATATTGTCTCCATCCAACTTACATATCATGACACATATGGTACAAAATAATACAATTCAAAGCACTTGAGGATTCTTTTGTAACACAGATTTTCAGGAATTATTCACTCTGTACTTCACACAAGTGTATATAAATGGAGGGGCATCCTATTTACACCAATTCTTCAATTATAAAACTTCTTACACCTACAATACTGATAACATATAACATCATTTACTGAGTTGTTATTGTCTAAAATTTGCACTGCTGTGTTTATGAGTGTATAAGATTCTTCTATTACAAACCTATATGCAACTGGGACTGGAAGAGGTGATCCACCTCGCAAACTATTACTGAGCGATGATGGACTCCGGCTTGGAATAGGTGATGTCTGGTACTTTGTCTGCATGGTTTACAAAATGTAACCCTATAAAGAGATTTAATTTGAATACAAAATAAAATCCTATCTAATAACACAATAACACACAAATAAACCAAACTCTATTTATATACATACACACGTGAGAACTCTCCACATTCAAGCAAACGTTACAGTGACAGCTCAGGTACTACTGCTTAGGAATGGTGAGTAAACAGTCATTGCTATATAAGGTCTACAACAATATGGTACTGTGCAAAGCAAGCCAATCACAAGCTAGGAACCATTTGCTGCATAGCAACAGCTGAGTAAACAGCTGGTGCTAGGCAAAGCCTACAACAATATGGACAGTGACATGTTTTCTATAGGTCTGACTCAAGATACATTTAGTGGGAGTTTGGAGTTCCAGTTCACCGCCCTCAAAGGATCAGACCATGTAACGTACAAAAACTGATAAATTCCTTGAAATTGAGAAAGGCCTGTGGAATTGACGGCATCCCAAATGAATGCCTCAGGCACCTTCCAAGGCGACCATTGGTTCACCTAACTCATTTATTCAATCATTGTCTTTGGCTCTCTCATTTTCCAAATGCTTGGAAGGAAACAAAAGTAATAACTTTACCTAAACCCGGTAAAGACCTGAAATTCCTGCAAAATCTATGTCCAATCAGCCTCCTGTCCATGACAGGAAAACTATTCGAAAAAGCAATTTTGAAATTACTACAAAAACATATTGAAGAAAGAGGCTTGCTCAATGCAAGCCAGTTTGGTTTTCGTGCACATCACAGCACGACATTGCAATGTATGAGACTGGCAGACCATGTGACCCTTAATTTCAACAACAAAATGTCAATGCCCATGGTGTTCTTGGACATCGAAAAAGCCTTTGATACCACGTGGCATTCAGGCTTGCTATATAAGTTATCAAAATTGGAATTCTCGAACAGTTTGACCAAACTTATTGGGTCCTTTCTCTCTCAGCGTCGATTCAGGGTTTCGGTTGAAGGCCAAATGTCAACCCCAAGGGACATGGAAGCAGGGGTGCCACAAGGCTCAGTCCTCTCCACTACCCTTTTCAATTTGTACATAAATGATGCCCCCCAAACACATGGTGTTCACATGGCACTCTTTGCGGACGACACCTGTCCGTATGAGACAGATCGCAAGGAGGGTTTTGTTGTTAGAAAACTCCAGCGCAGTCTCAGCTCAATGGAGACCTGGTGTTAGCGCTGGAATATTAAAATTAATGAAGATAAGACTCAGGGGGTCTACTTCTCTCGTAGTCGTCGACCGCCTGAGTCTTGTCTCACTTTAAATAGACGAAAAGTTCCATGTGTAATCTTCGATAAGAGAGTTACATGGAGACTGCACATAGAAATGATCAAAGCCAAAGCCTTCAGAACATTCATTAGGGTATATTCCCTATTCAAGAGTGAGCGATTGAGCGCTAACATTAAAATGACCCTCCACAAAGCTCTCATTAGATCCGTAATGACTTATGCTAGTCCCACCTGGGAGTTTGCGGCAGACACCCATCTAGTGAAATTGCAGCGCCTGCAAAACAAGGTTCTCCGCACCATTGGCAATTTTCCAAGGCGCACACCGGTCCGCGACTTGCACATGGCATTTAAAATCCTGTACGTATATGACTATATAACAAAATTATGCAGGAAACAAGCAGAAGTCATACAAAATCATGAAAATGAGAATGCTCGCAACATCGGACAAGGTGAAGCCAGACACAGAAAGTATAAGAGGCTTAAACTTGGCGGCGGTCAGGCATACTACCGTTCAAGTGACTAGGCTACTGTGGTAGCGAATACTAGTAGAAATAGGGCATAATCTGCTGTACCGAGCCTGGATTGACAGAGGCCTTGTATATATTGTACATAGGAATAGGAATTAAGTTTAAATTGTAAATATATGTAAATACTGACAATGGACTTACTAACACAGACTATGACTGAAAAATGACAGACCCGACCTCTCGTCAGAGAGGGCGCCCCAAATGAACAGGACAGTAACTTTCATATAAAGGAAAAAAAAAATCTGGTCATGAGTCCCAGTCGGGGCTCGACACCAAGACAGACAGACTGACCGACCGTCAGTTGCAATGTGACTTTGACTTTGACTGACTTTGACTTCCAGTTCAGAGTCACCCATGTGGCGGCGGGGTCGAATACCTCCACCGCGACCCTGCAAGGTGTAGGAAGCGACAAAAAGGGAAGTCTCAAATTTGAGACAGTAAAATAGGGTCAGGAGTCCAAAGGGACTTGGATCCGAGAAAGACTGCGCTGGCAGGGACCAACAGCATATACAAAAGGCAGACCCGTCCTTTTGTCAGAGAGGATGCCCACAAAAAACAAGACTGTAACTGTCAAACAGTAATAAATATCTGGTCATGAGCCCCAGGAGGGTGCTCGACACCAAGACTTACTGACTGACTGGCTGTCACTCGCAATGTGACTTTGACTTTGACAGTTCAGAGTTGTGTTTCAGTACAATGTTCAAGGTGTTACAGAGTTCACTATTGTTATCATATTATTAGTCTTCAAACCCAAGTTCGTCTGTTATGGAACAGTTCAACAAGTGGTTGTCTCTTCAAATATTGACATAAATTATATCCAAGTACAGAAAACTCTGGATTATCTGTTCTTGAATTATCGGGTTTGTGGCTTATCTGTGCTCCTCTTTTTGTGTTCACACCCTGTGCAGCACCTATTAAGTTTGCTCAGTGCATCCGTCTCTCTAACATATGAAACAACATAAGAATTGCAGGACATACTTCAACAAAATTTTATGCTGACTAATTTTATGAAGAATTGTCATGCCATTTAAATTTTCATTTAGATCAAAAAAATTTTAACAGGTTTACATGAAGGCCTACATTGATTTCCACACACACATCCCATGTAACTCACTAAGTATTTACATGAGTGAAAAAATGTTTCCAACAAACAATGCAGAGGAACAAAAAGCATGCATTCTATGTTTGATGCATTTTTTCCATATGGCTTTAAACTTTTCAAGATAACAACATACTGGATGCTAGCATACACTTATGAATTTCTGTACTCAACAACCATGGCCTCATGATCACATCTGAAATTTGGATTATCTGTGTATCTCAATTATTTGTGAGTCAGTTGGGAGTACAGTGGTGATGAAATAAAGGTAAATGTTAATAATAAATGTTTGCTTCTTGATTTATTTAATGTCACATTCCAAACAGCATGGGTAATATACCAGCAAAAACTTCAGTGATAGTGTCAATATCACCATTCAAAATATTAATTCCCATATCCTAAAAATTTTGCCTGGGTCATTCCAAAGAATCTGTAAAATTCTGAGACTTCATCATAACTCTTGTACTGGTATAACACAAAATGAAGGTTCTAAAAATGAAGTGCGAAGAAAGATATTTGGATCTAAGACAGACGTAGTAGGCTCATTTGGTATTATTCAGGTACTGAAATGAAGATTATGATAGTCTGAACATACTTATTTACTTACTTACTTACCCATGTCAAAGACAAAGTTTCACACCCATATAGAACCACAGGCAAAATTATAGTTTGGTATATTCTAATTTTTATGTTTTTGGACAGCAGACAAGAAGACAAAAGGTTCTGGACTGAATGGTAGCAAGCATTACCCTAGTTCAATCGCCTTTTAATTTCTTCCTCAATCAGGTTTCGATCTGTTATCATTGTTCCCAAATATCTGAACTGTGCCACATTTTCAAAACACCCATTTCCCATCCTTATGTCATGATTTTGCCCTGCATTTTGGTGACCATAGCTCTAAGAATGGTAACGAGGTGTAGAGAGAATTTTGGTGGGGAGACATATTTGAAAAGTAAATTCAGAAGGTAAAGGCGAAGTTGTCCCTATGCTTCACTAATTAAGCACTACACCATGAAGACATATGGGGGAGAGGATGTATAGATCCACATTTTCTTGACCTCGGCACTAGCTAGAGGTGAGTGGTCAGCTTCACACCCCTGCCATTTTACCCCTGGGAAAAGAACCCCTAGTACCCATTAGATAGGAGGTTCGGAGGACCTCAGAGTCAGTCTGGACAACATGGAGAAGTGAAAATTCTTGCCCCTACCAGGACTTGAACTCCAACCCCATGGTATGATAGCAGATGGAATAGTTATGCACATACCACATTATAATATGGGTGGAACTAGGTATCACAAAATATATGAAGAAGTTACATAACACAATACTATATCTTGCAATATATTCGGATCTCCACAACACAAAAATAAATTGTGTAGTGGAACATGTGAAACACATTACAACTGAAGAGTATGGTGTAATCCACTGCAGTTTCCTTTATTTCTTTATGATCATGAGTGCTTAGTATTAACTAAAACATCCACTGTACCAAATGAATGTGACTGAAAGCGTGTCATATAAATTTACATATGAAAAAAACATACTAGGATAACATAACCACCGAAGCTTCCTACATCACAACAATGTCTTTCACCCTAACACATCAATTTATATAATTCTGATAAGTAGATGAATCGAATAATGTATGAACACTTGAATGGGATGCAAGAAGAATAATAGTTTTATCTTTCCCATGACGTTCATATTCCATTCTTGACAGATGAAAGTGTTAAGAGGATATGTACAAAGTAATGTAACCTAATATTTATGGGCCACAGCTAATCAGATTTTAAAAGCTGTAAAGACAAGGATTACCTTATTCACTTTCGCAAATAGTTCTCTAGAAGGTGTATGCAACATTACTCTCCCTTGAATTCGTGGTGCAAAATTACGACTGATCCTCACTGCAAGTGAAATGCAGCAGATCTTATTCATATAATAACTAACATATCTGAAACCTATCACGTTAAATGAACCTACTTTAAATAACGTGCATTTCTTTATAATTACAGATGTAACTTTTAACACACGAATTAAAAGCAATGACACACCAACAAACCCATAACCTCGCTCCCAATCTGAACCTTCGTTAACACCTACAACACAGTCATACCAACATAGATCATCATAAACTGACCTTCCTATAAACATTACTGTCACGTACGTGCGTTTTTGTGTGATGAGCCGGTGCTGTGTGGCTGAGCGAGGAGTGGTCATGCAGTTGTAGGAAATAAGCATAGCACGTCAGTGCGGTAGAAGGCAGTATTGTCATAATATTTTGATACGTCCGTGAGTTAGCGTTTATAAAAGTGTAATTCTGATACAGCTCACATTCAGTGGTGTTCGGTAAGTATACATTAGTGTGGAACAGTAAATATAAGAATAGAAGACTGACGATTACACGCTCACGGCTAGGGTCGTGTATTAAGTAGTCATTTAAGGACCTTGCACCAGGCACAAATCTATTGTTTACTGAACAACATGAACCTCTGTCTTTATCCATTACCACATAATTTTTGACAAAGTTTGATGCTCCAGCAGCGTCTTGTTTTCATAACCATAAGTGTGAAGTTGAAAATTAATGTTGCAGTCACTGAATGACACGCTCAGGTGGTTCGGACCCTTGTCTGTTATTCGGGCAATCGCGGGATCGAATCTCTATCCGAGGAGGATGTTATCCTTACCCAGCTTGTTCGTGGTGTTCCTCAGTTAAACTAGTCAAATACCGATATAGTACCTTAAATTAGGCCATTAGTCACTTGCGCATTCTTTGCAGTTCATTGTTCACTGATCATTCACAGTTACATATTAGAACAATTCAAAGCGGCCGTAAATAAGCCAAGAATAAATATTTTCCAGTAAATTTCCCAGATTTAAACTGCTGAACTGAGTACAATTAACAACACTTTTCTTGTACCCTCAACATTAAAGACACGAAAATGCAGTACACTGTCATAAATATTACACAGTTCACACTTTGTTGACATAAGTAACTGAACTGAGTAAGTCATAAATGCAGTCAGCTGTTTAAAATATTAATATCTGGCAACTGTGCTGAAAACTGAGATACTAAATGGAATCCTGTAAGTGGCAGTGTAAACATGTTGATGGAACAAAAAGGAAACGAGTAAGTTGTCCATATTTTAAGAATCCAAACTGTGGAATTATAACATAAGAGAATGTGAAAGCAAAGAGAACAAGAAATTTTATTACATTATTTGGTGAGATAAATTAAAATAAAACCTAACACAGGATGGAGAAAGTAAAGGGTGCTGGTAAGATGTTAGAGGCAATGAATGGCTTCTGCATTTTCATTCATAATTGCCATTTTTGTCTGATTTGAACAGATTTCATGAAGGTATTTAATGATTTCAAGTTTTTTTTTCTTCTGTCAGCTGTGGATCAACTATAAGTGTATTCAGACATGACTGTTATGTTGCGTATTGTGGTGGTTATTTGGGGGCGGGGGGGG